TGAGTCTTTTGGGGCAAAGTCTTTAATTGCTGGGCCATCATAATGAAAGCAGAAAAACAAGCAAGCAAACACAGAGATATAAAAGCTTTTAGCTGTGATTTAAAAGAAGGTGATGTGGAACTGTGTCCAATAATCCCATCTCATAGATACAGTCTGAGAGCATCTGTAGGCTGGGTTTCCCATAAAGGACTAAAGTATAACCTAAGTGCTAAGCTGCTCAGGACTGTAAAACTGTGGTACTTTGGGGCCCATAAGGTCACAAGCTACAAGCCCCATGAAGGATAGGGAACTCAAATATCAGGAGACACATGAGCTAGTTTTGTTCTTCTGCACTTACATTCCACCAAACTGTTTGTGTTGGTGCTTAAATACTGTTTTGGATCCAGTCCACAGTCTCTGGTCTAATATCAGGTTCCACTAAACAGTTTATTCTCATTTTTAAGGCTACTGCACAAATGAAAGAATTTCAGGTGTAATAAATGAGCTGTTTCAGCAGGGAGCCACGACAGTTATCTTCATTCACAACAATGCCACGTATACTTGGCTAACAGCCAGCTGTTCTTGATGTACTTACAAATGCCAAGAAAACCTGGCCTCTAATAGGCTGTCTAATTAACTGCTAGTCTTATGATGTACAGCTCATTTTTCCTAAGTCATTTGTTTGCCAAAGCTTAAGGCTTAACATCTATTGTCTCTCATGCAGCAAATGCATTTCCTATTCACCCCTCTATTTTGAAACTACTGTAATCTAGATCAAAAGCCAGACTGCATTCCTTCTTTAGAAATATCAAGAAACACTTATTCTTAGAAGTTTCTGCTGCTGTTTGGAGGCAATTAAATGAGTATTCAAATCTTAATAAGCAACCAACTCTTTAAATGGAAGCTACACACCATGGTGAAATAATTGTTCAAAACTGATCTTAAGCATCATGTGACTCCCTGCTGTCCTAGTGCTTTAGCTGGAGTTTGAAAAATTAAAGAGATGCACATGGATTTTTTTAGATTACATCATTATATCAGGGCCTGTTTTTTGAGAAACTGTTTTAAAGGGAAATGAGAACTTTTAATCTCCCAGAAGCTACTTTAGAAGAGTCTGAGACTGCTTTCCAAAACTGTCCAGGAAAACTAAAAATGCAGATATTGATGCTGTTAACAGATCATCTGTGGTGTCAAGGAGGTGTAAGTCAAAAGAAAGTTTGCCATAAAGATCTAAATGAGTGAAAGTGTAAACAGGTGTGATTTTCCATAAGAAAAAATTGTGCTATTGGGAAAGAGTATGTAACTGGGGAATGAGGAGTTAAGAAAGAAAAGACCCAGTAGTCAAATTTTCAGAATATTTGTCTCAGAAGTGCCACTTGATAGCCTTTAATTGTCTGTAGTATGTACCATGGGATGTTATGAGAAGAAATGTAAAGTTCAAATCATACAGAGGCAAGAGAAATAAAGAGTAAATGAGATTGTGAGTTGATACCAGAGTGGAGCCAAGTCCTGGATAATCTGCCTGATTATTGACAATGTCAGCATTAGTTTAAAAAATTCGTCTTGTGCAATCACTGAGGACTGACATCTGCAATGAAAACCAGAAGGCTCTGTGCATGTTCTCTGTTCAGAGCTTAGTCACACACTGCTCTGCTAGCAGATGGGCAACCTGTAGACATCCCTCCAATAAAAACTTCATGCAAAGAAGCTAACACCAGAAAATATTTCCTGTCCCTGTTTCCAAGACCCTTTATGACGTTGCTTCACCACTGCCCAGCTGGAATTCAGTAGCTGGCTGCAGGACTACCCACACCGTCTTGCCCAGTATGCTGGGGGAGCAGTCCAGATGTGGTCACTTAGCTGCCTGAAGGACATGCAATTTTATTCAATCAGTCCACCACTTTCTGTGCACAGTGAAGTTGTTCTCCTCTCTTCTCCCTTATGGGATCTCTGGTCCCACACCACCACCTTCCTGCTATCTGAGGACAACCGTTTTTCAGCTGCCCGTGGGATGTTGCAGGAGCTAGGTAGTAGGTGGGATATTCTGGGAGTGACCATTAACTGATAAAGTCCATCAAGAAATTCACTTTATCTGGTCTGAAGTTCAATTATATCTAAAGAAAGGGTAAAACCTGCTTTGTTATGTCTAGACGACTATTACACAAATGAGCTTGAAAGTTACGAGTAAGATGTTGAGATGCTTGAATATGTTTCATACTCTGGGAAGTTATGGAAAAACAACACTTTGATGAAGTGACTGGACATGCAATATAGTGTAATGTCAGTAACACATAACATATGAAAAGTAACTGAACATTGTTATTTCTTTCTGTGGTTGCATATGTGCAAAGCTATTTTTTTGATGTCTAAAGAAGGTGGCACAATAAATAAAAAAACCCGTGCATAGTGTTGGAAATTTTTAGAGTAGTGTTACTAACCAGCCAAAAGTCAGAATAGATGCTTATGATTAACAGCCCTGGCATAACTTTCCAGAATCCACAGATCCCATCAGAAGTAACTCTAAGAAAGTTTCTGAGATTGCCTATTTGGAAAGACTGCATTATATTAATTATACTCGTGTGGTCTAATCCAGATAATCACTGTGAGGTCTGGTTGTGTCTGCTAGTATAGCTCCATAGCCATATCACTGGCTTAGTTTCTTCCTGTATACAAATGGAAATAAATCATGCACTGGCATGAGCCATATGTGTGCTGATATGGTTGTACCATACTGGGAGTAGTCCTAATGTAAGCAATAAAGAGTAATAAAGACACCCTAGGTACAACAGAAGAGCAAATGACAGAATCTGCATGTAGACACAAGGCTCGAATTAATGTATTTTACACCATTCTTGGCACACTCGACATGAGAGTAGTTCAGACCTCCTCTAGTAAGTTGCTTTCTGTCTGATTTATGTGCTTTTTGGTGTTTGCGTAAGAATTTCAGTTCAACTACTTGTGTGGATTCAGTTAAAATTGAACTACTATAAAGGTATCCTACTTCCTATACAGCTTATACTCATTCATTTAGACCAATTATATCACCATGAAAAGGTATTTATACTGGTACGATGCCCGTGTGTTTTTCTGAGTTTTGTTACCCGAACTATGCTGCTGTAGGTAAACCACTTAAAATCGCCTTACATAAAATGTACCCTTAGGTTGACAGGGCCAGGTTCAGCGTGATGCATAGAGGGCTAGATTGATACGAACCTAAGCAAAACTAACATGAATTTAAGTATTGCATCTTCCTTGTTGAATATGCCCCAGATCATAGACAGTATACTTACATGACCTCAATCAGGGCCTCTCCAACCTTGGTCCAGAAATGCTGTAAATGATAATATTTGCCCAAATAAAACTTGAAAAACTGTATTTCTTTTAGAGTCCTTGAAAACATGCACCCTTATTCTGTATCTTCCCATAATCAGTGCAGATCCAGAAGCAAAATCTGGGGATCTAATTGAATGTCCAAGTTAGAGAGGACTCAGACATAAATAAAATTCCCTGCATTGCTGCAGAGAGGCGGTTTTACTTAAGCCATGGATTATACCTGTGAAAATTTGGGAATTGAAATGTTTTTGAACTTTATTCCTTCTCTTCTGGTAAGACTGTTTTGGTAATTGGTATGTTGGCATTTAAATTCTGACATTAAGTAGCACCTAGAATGCACTTACAAAAAAGAGTTCCCAGATACCCAGACACTTGGAAGCAGGAAAAACTGATCAGAAATTCTTGTTCCTTATATCTAATATTTCATCTAATTTGAGCTTGACTTTTTTTTTTTTTTTTGTAAAGATATATTGCCTCAAATTATCTGTTAACTCAGTGTTTTCTTTGATTTCAGTGGGACTTGAATGTGTTTTCAAACTCGCATACATTTGGTACTGCTATAATCAGTGAATATTGTTGACCTGGAGCCTCATACAGGATATCTGTAGATGGATTAATTGTGAAAGGTTTCATTAAAGAAATTCTTTAGAAAAGGAGATCTAAAGGGAAGAAGAGAGTCTTAAAAATGAAGGGGAAAAAAGTACTCTTTGATCATTTTGATAATAACATTTGATAATACTGTAATGCCTTGAAAATGACATTTTCATTCAACCACAATGAAAAATCTGGGAGTGCTCCAAATGCCATGGTACCTACTTTTCCTTCTCAATCAAAAAACCGTATGTACATCTGTCCATTCAAACTGATATTCTTTCATCTGCTTCAGCAGCAGTACTGAAAAGTTATTACTGACAATTAAAATGCTGTATGTCTGACCAAAGCTGCCTCTTTCAGTAGTAGTGCTATCCTGGAATGGAAAGAAAAAAACTAGTGCTACCTGCATGGTTTCTGGAGACACCCCATATCTGCAAATAGAAAGTACGTGACTTAGCCATTGAGCTAGTAGGACTAGGAATCAAGGAATACACTCTGTCCTGTCGCTGACTTTTTAATCAACCCTTGAGAATTGCTTAAATACTTGGTATATTGGGTAATACATTGTTAATCATTGTACTACTTGACAGATGTGACATCAGGTTTAATATATAACAATCTCATTTCTTTAGGTACAAGTATAAGACTTGCCTTTTGAAAAGGAGGGCAAACTGTAGCTCAAGAACTGATTAGGAATATGAAACTTGCTCTCAGGGTTTGGGTTCACCTTCTGTAAATAAAGACAATATTTCTTCTATTTTTATTGTCAGTGGAGAAATGTTGCTGTGTCATGTGTTTTGTGTATCCAGCTCAACGGAAGTTTGAGCATCTGTATGCACTGCAGAAATACAAATGTAAATAACAATAATTAATTATAGATCATATCCAAACCCCATTAAAGGCAATGAAAATTCTCCCATTGACTTTAGCAGGGATTGGATTGGATCATCATGCTTTTAAACTGCGTTGAGATCTATAGGTGAAAACTTATTTTGCTGGTTCTGCTGTTTGCAAAAGACTGGTGACTTTAGCCTGTTCTTACCTATGGGTGTAAAAATTTATTTTAATGACTCTTTTTTTTCCTTCCTGGGCAGGATTTATGTGGGCATCATTCATGTGATACTCTGGGAATGGCAGACGTTGGGACCATATGCTCTCCTGAGCGCAGCTGTGCAGTGATTGAAGATGACGGCCTCCATGCAGCTTTTACAGTGGCTCACGAAATTGGTATGTAGTGCCTTTTCTGTTCGCTTGCCAAATCAAACACTTGTAACAGCTGCATTAGTAACCAAAATACTTTGCAATTAATTCCAGATTTCCCCTGGTCCAGATACTCGCTTGGGGATTAAGGCTGTATACATATGCACTTCAGGGTTAACTAATAAGGGATCAGAAGGCAAGTGAAGGCGCACAGTAGGTGTTTCCTTTCTGACAGTGTCGTTTTTAAGCAGTAGTCAGAGTGAAAATTCAAAGGCTGCTGCTACTGTCCAAAAATGTCAATACATATCCCTCCTGAGAAGGTGTTTGGCTTATTGGCTTATCTGGTATAATTCATATTCATTTAGTGTATACACAGTGGAAAGTAACACACCTTTTTGAACTACTTGCATGCTCTGTTGTTATGAAACTTTTTCTTGGGAAGGTGTACTGCCTGCAGACAAGGCTTTAGTGGAAAACAGCAAAATGCTAATATTTTTCTAATGGTATTGAAATTCCACCTTTATGGTAAAATGTGGTACTAATCTAAATCCTGAAATAAGTGAAATAGTATTTAGGTGCTAAAGATTTGTTTAAAAAACTGCTTAACTTCATTTCAGTCTCCACTTCAGTGTACAGCAATTTAATGTAGCAACCTTACTTGTATCCTTCAAAAGATCTAAGATAGAATTAGTGACAGAAGAAATTTTGTATTCTGGCATGATACATTCCTTGAGGGAGACTGCTGCCATCTTGCTTATTTTTAATTTACTAATGTTTCGTGACCTGTGTTCACTAGAAATACATTTGGTATGTGGGCTATTCATTTTGGTGAGTGAACAGCAATTTAAAAGTGGAGAACTTTTTTTTTTTTTTTTTAACATTCTTGGAAGGAAATAACAAGGAAAGGAGAACTTTGAGAGAGCCAAATTCTGAATTGCCTTGTACCTCTTGCCAAACCAAAGTAAAGTTTGCTTTGGGAGTATCATTGCAATAGTTCAATTTTCAAGTAGCTAGCAGGTAGAGCCTAAGAGTTCTGTGTTTGCTATATACCTGGCTCAGAAAACAGAGGTCACCAAGTATGAAAAATCAGCTTGCATGGTAGTATCCAGGCCCTTCAATGATTAGTGATACTAACACTACAGCTTACAGTGCCTCAAAGAATTGAGGTCAGAAGCTGGAGAGGGATCATGTGTTGCATGAAAGCATAAAATCTTACAGCACAATGAGTCCCCAGACTAGATACTTTATTTCAATAAACAAGATGGTTTGGTAATAAAAGAAAAGCTCTCTGAAATTGCTAGTTTAGAGCATTTTGAGATAAGTACGGCAATACATCAAAGACAGCTGAACAACAGGTGAGTTTAGTGGCATCAAACCTGGATGCCATAAAGCTGACAACTCATCATGAATCTGGACTAGAACTGGGACAAAAAGATAGCTTGTCTCACTTAGGCTATCATGCAGAGTCCAGTTTGATAGAGGGATGGTTTGTATCTTCTGACATCCAAAAATGATAATTACTGATGACAGTTTGTAGGCATTGTTGTGGCTGTATGAAGGACCCTTTGGGGATGCTGGTGTTGGTATATACCTGTTTTGTGAAGTCATGGGCAATGTGTCTGAACTGTCATTTTATCAACAGATATATGTGCAAATAGATTAGAAATGAAAAGCATAGATCAGTCAAGATAGGGATGAACAGAAAATATGCATATTATTACTTTGAATTCCACTCAAAGAAAATGTAAACACAAGTGAATTATTTTTAGTAATCTAGAGGCACATTTTTGAAAAAGAGCCATTTTCATACCTTGGAAGTTTATAGGAATCCATAAAAAGCTATAATTTTCAATGTAAAAAAGGCATGAATTGAAACAGTTGGATAAATAAGTACCCTAATGGACAAAAAAACTCTAGTTTGAGGTTGTTTAAAATAACATCCTTTTTTTTTCTCCTTACCATAAAATTTGAAGAAAGGAGGGGTGTCAAATCACAGAATGACCTTTGTGTGTGTGGCCTCAAGTGGGAGATGTTCAGAAGAAAACACAGCTAAAATTGCTTGAGTACTTACATTAAATTAAAGGTCAAAATAGGATGAAAAATTGAAGCATGGCACGGATACTCTTTAGTTAAGCACTTTGAGGAAAACCTTACTTTATTTTATTTGGAGACCAGATTTCTTCCTCCAATCCAGAAGTCTTAAAGTTCCCCCTTGTCCTGGGGGTAGAGTGTAGTTTTAATTTTACGGCAGCTTAGTTATTCGGTGTAGTTCACTTTGCAGGGTAGGAGATGTCCTGCAAGACAGAGGGGATTCTCAGGGCTCGAAGCATAAGCTGCTCCTTTTTGTCAATATGAAGAGTGAGGTGAGCTGCTAGGCATACTGGAGTCACTATCTGCAGCTTTTAAATAACCCTGCCAAGTGTGCATCTGTAGTAGATACAGCATCATTAGTATGGACTTGTTCCGAAGAAAGGCTGGGTGTCCTTACTTTGACTTCAAGGTGACCTGAGTGCTCCTGTTTCCTCTCTGAAGGATCCAAGAGCATTTTTGAGGATTGTGTTCTTTCCCTGGAAGGCAACCAAAGTAAATGGAACTGCAGCTCAACCAAACAGGACAATGCACAGCCCAAGGACTCAGGTTGGATACATGCACAGGAAGCCAAAAAGCAGCCTGCTGTGGAGTAAAGCATGCTGCTTGAGTTGCCAGAGTTTCTACCACATTATGCATTAAATGTTTATTTTATTCCTTTTAGAAAAAATTAGTTGGATTTTGACTGGTAGTTTTTGAGGGGGAGAATATGAATGAGCAGAATCAACAGGCAAGATCTGTAAAGAGCTGTAAACAAAAGCACAGAAAGAAATAGATACAACCAAATTCTTAGTATGCTGGTTAGATGACAAGATGTGAAGACCTGTCTATAAAGATTGACAAAGCATCTAGGACCCAAATCTTGTCCTAGTTGCATGTAGCAAAATCAGGAATAATTTCTGTACAGTGTCAAGTGCATAAAATGAGGAAAATACAACAACAAAAACAACAAAAACAGTACTAACAAGGATATCTTGTAGCTTTGAAAGTGATAATATAGTCTCTCCTCAGAATGAAGAGTATAAGTGCTTACATCATAAATGTTATTTTAAAATCATAGCCTGTCGAGACATTCAGCCACTAGTGGTAAATCCATATGCAGTTATTTTCTCACATTGTTATCAGTGTAGACAGTAGTAGCTTTGCTGCCACAAAAACAGTCTTTTGGATTCTTTCTTGAAATCATGAGTTCAACTCCATGTTGTGGCACAGAGATGTCTTATGTGACTTTAAGCAACTTCTTCATGGTATTCCTCCATAGCCCTGCACTCCATAGCTTCTGCTCAGAACTGTCTTAGGCACAGCATATAGATATTCTCCAAGTCTTTGTTGTCATCAGACTATGGACTATAAAAAGAAAAAAAATGATGCTTTGTTATTTCATGTACTTCCCTGCATCACAGAAACATCTGGAGGAAAGTGTTAAAGAACCCATGATTACCCATGATCTCAACATTTATTTAACATATTTTCATAGGTCAGTGCTGGCATATTGCTAATTCATATATCCTTTATTAAAATAACTGTCAGGAAACAAAAAGAACTGATTTTAATTTTTACTCTAATACTCTAGCCTTTTGATAGGAGATTTTGTTGGCTTTATGATGCTGAATTATAAACCAGCCTATGCATCCCCTAAAGATCTGTAATATAACATCTTCTAAAGATACAATCAACACATTTCAAGTTACGTTTAGTGTCTCTCTTGCATAATGACAATTCTTTGTTTAGTAGCCTGGTGTTGTGTTTTGTCATGAAGTAGCTTTCAGAAGGCTCTGATGACTTCAGCTCTTCCTATGCTGGAGTCCTTAATGCTTCATTGCAAACAATCCAACAGCCTGAAGGGTGTATCATCTGCAAAAACAAAATAAGAAGAGTTCAGGAGAAAAGAACTGGAGCTACTGCCCATCTTATCAATTGGTAATTGAGATACCGAAATTTGGTGACTGCCAAAATCACAAACTAAGTCTTAAGGAAAGCCAAGGATTAAATTTGCCTCTTGGGTTTCAATCTACTCCTTAAACACAAAAGCATCCTTTCTGCAGTCTTTAAGCAGGCAAGGCTCCAGTTTAGCTCAGTGAAAATTACATGAGTTTAATAACTTAAATTACATGCATCTTTATTCTTTCCATCAATCTTCAAGATTATTTTTTTTAAGAGGGGATACAGAGAAAGCTCTGCCTTCTTGTCCATTTGACCTTTTGCAAAGTTCCTATTTCTCTGTTATATAATTGTGCTGGCATGCTATTACTCCTTGTATCCTCCTGAGTAATATGGTTTACTGATCTTCTTTCCAAGTATTTTATTTTTAGATTATAGCTTAAAAAATTCTACATGGAACTAATTAAACCTCTGTTCATTAATTTTCTTTATCTTTAACATGTGACTTTTGAGATAGAAAGACTGAAGGGGAGGCATAAAAGCAGTCTTCAAATATATCTAATAATAGTTGCAAAAATTTGCATAATAAATCATTCTCCATGTCCACCTGGGACAGCACAAGGGGTAATGGCCTTTGCATTGCAGCAGGGGAGCTTTTCTTTAAGCGTTAGCCAAAGTCATCCAACCATACAGACAGTTCAGCACAGGAACGAATTGCCTTGGGAGGTTGTGAAATCTCCATCAGTGGAGTCTTACAGGAGTCAGCTGGCCAAACAGCCGTGGCTTAGGGGATGCTGATCCTACCTCATGGCAGAGGGATGGACAAGATGACTTTTCAAGGTCTCCTCTCAGCCTCATTTCTTTTTTGTTGATGTTATTCCAGCCTCCTCTCCAGCTGTGTTACATAGTTGAACACCTAAAATCAAGGACCTATACAGAAACTAAAACTAGAGAACAACATTTTTAATGGCAAATCTTTTTCCGTATGCCCCCATTCTGTGGCACGTACCATCACTGAAGACAACAATGACATGAATGCAGTCAACAAAGTGTAGTGA